GGAGCGGTTCTCTGCACACGGGGGCCGAGCGGCAGAAAGGCCAGTGAGCGCCACAGGGGGAGGACAGAGGGCGCTGCCACGGGCATGGCCTGTTCATCCAGGTCCCTCCCCCCACTGTCCCCATCCAGGCCTGCCCCCACCCCAAACCTTGGACCAGCAGCTTGAAGCTTCCTGTGTGGCTCAGCAGGGGCACTGTGGACATGGAGGCCTCACAGACATAGGTGCCCGCAGAGTCGAAGGTGACGGAGCTGAGCGAGAGCGTGGGGCCGTCCCCCAGGGGCGCCGAGTTCTGGGGAAGGGAGAGGCAGACCCCTGAGGAGGCAAGGACTCCTCCCCACCAGGGACCATTCCCCGTGCCCCCCTGTCAATCCTCTACCCGCCCTCGGTTCACCAACACATCCTCCCTCTCTCGCGGCCCCTTCTAGGCTGACCCTTCCTCTCTGCACCCCACTCACCCCCATCTCCAATTTTAATCCCAACTTCTGTCCTTCTCCTCCTCTTCCCTCTGACCCTGCCACTGAAAGGGTTAAACCTGAGGTCCTCTGGAGGCCTCAAGCCCCCTCCTCACCCTGAGCCAAAGGGAGAAGGGTGCAGGAGGCCTGTGTGTGTGTGTGCATGTGTGTGTGTGTGTGTGTGTGTGCTGGGCCCCGCCCCCTCACCTTGGTCCAGCGCAGAGCAGGGGTGGGCCGGCCTTGCACGGAGCAGTTCACGCCCACGCTGCCTCCCAGTGGCAGGGATAGCTCCTCTCCCACGCTGAGCTCCAGGGGGTCCAGATCTGCAGGGGGACGGACAGACAGTCACCTCCCCAACCTCTCCCCCACTCAGTTAGGGGGCTCTCTGGGACTGTGGGGGGCAGGGTTCTGACGTTAACAGACACTCCCAAGCCCAGAATGTCAAGTGCTTCACCTCCTCTCATCCAGGCCCTTGAGCCAAACTCTCCAAGCCTGACGCCACAGTAACAACCTCACCGTTTTTTTCCCCCGCTGACACCCGAGCCACCACCGAGGTCAACACGTAACCCAGGAGTTTTAAGTATTCCTCGCTGTCTGGCCACTCACCCTACACTCAAACCTAAACAAATCCTGCCTTCTCCTCCCTCAGGGAAGATCTGCCGTACCCCCACTCCTGCTCTCACTGCCCAGCTCGGCAGTCACCCCCTCCCAGTCCCTCTTGTCCTCTCCAGTCCATCCTCCACTTAGCAGCCAGAGAGGTCTGTTCAAAATGCACATCGGTCAGCCCTCTCCTTTGCTTAAAATCCTGCAATGGCTCCCCAGTACCCTGAACATCAAGTCTAAATTTCTTAACACCGCCTATCCATCCTGCTTGGTCTGGCCCCCGCCCACCTCTTCCATCTCATCGCCCACCCTCCAGTGGCGTCACTAGGAGGGTGCGGGGGAGGGGAGGAGTGCAGACCACACCAGGTGACATTGTCAGAAGTGGTGACATCAAAGTGACCTTCTATACAATTTTTTGAGCACTGTTTCAGCAGAAATTTATTATTTTTTAATAAAAATATCCCTGTAGTCATAACAGAATCATTTTTTGTTAAGTCCCAGCTTCCATGTATCGATACACTTACCAGGCTCAAACTCTATGCTAAGTTACTTTTTGAACCTTCTAAGTGTGCCCAGTGAGCTGTCATTGTTACACAATTACCAAGCGATTCAAACCACATGGTGTTCTCTCCTCATGATACAAACATGCGCCCTTGTTTTTGTTGCTGTTTGTGTTTTTACGGTCACTGATGTTGTCAAATTTTCTGGTGTTTCAGCTACAACATTGGGGTCAGTTGTATTTGTCAACCCATGGCAAAAACTTTTTTGAGACCGAAGTACCGGTTAAAGGAAAAGAAGAAAAAAAAATTAAAACAAGGCTTCTTCTCAGCAATAATGTTGTAACTGATCACCTTGCAATTCAACATAGAAATACTTTACAAAGCAATTTTGTTATTACTATGCATAATCTGGGAGCTCTGGTAGCATAGTGCCTAAGGCATTTGACCGCTAACCAGAAGGCTGGC